TTTGGCCATCACAGTGAAAATTTCAGTTAGGATGACTGGAGCATTTCTCTGGGGACAGACACCCTCTTGAAAACACCCATTCTTCTGGACTCTTGGCTGGGGGCGTGGTTATAGAAACAACAAGAAATAGACCCAGGCATTGGCCAAGCAATTGAAGAAGGAAGCACCCTTCATTAGCATGTGGTTGGAGGTTCTTAGGATAAGGCTGGAGGATAGGAGCCATGGACTCAATTCACAGAACACCTAGGGAGGAGAGGGTTTCCTAAGAGATCCAAAGGCAGGCAGGTTAGGAGTCATGGTTCCAAACAGGAGTGGTTTGTTAAGTGGGCATATTGCTCTTCTTCTATGAGTTAATTTTTTTAATCAGATAACTCAAATAATCAGATAAGTGAAGTTATTATTATTATTATTATTGTCATGAAGCAAATTCTAGATTTGGGAATAAGATCTAGCATAAGCAGAGCAGACCCCCCAGTGAGACTGGTAATTCATCCGATTTGCTGTTTTTCCCTCTCCATAGCCTTAGAATAAAGTCCACAGCGGGGACTTGATAATTACCCGAGTAGTGGGTATGCCGTCTACTGAACTCAGCTCAGAGATTTTCTTCCATAGCCTCTGCCATTCTATGGAGGGGGAGGTCTTTCTTCATCTTTCAAGACTAGCCTAAGGGTGACTTAAGGATTCAACACACTTTTCATAATCTTTGCATCCTAATTGTTTAGTTCTTTCACACCTTGGACTCATCAAATGTTTATTGAGCACTTACTTGTGAGTACAATGGTGAGCACCTCCTTGCGGCTTCTAGTCCCCAGGTTGTATTTTTGCAGGGCCAACAGCACAGCTGCAGGCTCTAATTAAAGGGTAATTTTTATCCAAATCAAAGCAATTAAGCAACTCCCCTCCCCCCAAAAAAAGTATCCAAAATGCTGGTTCCATCAGCATTCAGAACTTCTGATCATCAGATGATACTCCTAGCCATATCTTCTAGATTTGAAAGAAACCTGGGAGACCATTAGGTACTGATCTCCATGTATTGGCCACAGCGGGCTGGATTATGCTAGAATACAAAGTTTCCTCTGGAATTTTTTCAGTTTAACATGATGAAGGATTTATTTTTTTTTAAAAGCAATTCTTTTATGTGACTCAGGGATCCACCTGCTTCTATGCAATGATCAAACATCTCAACATGGACGTTTAGTTCAGTATGGCCAGAGTTGTGCTGTGTGTGTGTGTGTGTGTGTGTGTGTGTGTGTGTGTGTGTGTGTGTGTGAGAGAGAGAGAGAGAGAGAGAGAGAGAGAGAGAGAGAGAGAGAGAGAGAGAGGCTGAACACTGCCTTACTTTACCAATCACACAATCCTGCCAGACTGCAAGGGGGCAAAACTTGGGTATGAGAGTTGGGACACATGGGTATTTGGTGGGCAAAAACATGTTCAGTATATAAAATTCTTCAAATCCTCATTTTTTTTTCAAGAACAGAGAAACAACCTAGAAAACTTGATAGGTAGGACTTATAAATAAATGGACCAATTCAGTTTCTGGGCCTTTGGCAATAATTTTGAAAGAAAAGGACAATAATTCCTTTTCTTTCTACACCAGGGAAATTTACTATTGACTTAGGTGTGTATCCATATTTCTTTGACATCCTCCCCCCTCCCCCAAGGTAATCTTACGGTGTTTATTTTCAGGTAAAAAGATCTGTTTTCCACTTGATAAGAGAGATAAAAGATTCTAGATGTCAGGACAAATGGACATCCTTACTGTCTCCAGGACAAATGGACAGCCTTACTGTCTTCAGAACTTTGGGTGGCAGCATTTTCCAGAATACCATTTGCTCTTTTCTAGAATATTTTTGTTATTGGATAGAAAGCATCGTTGTTATTCCCCAACTCTGTGCTTTCTGCCATTGGAGCTTTATTAACTGTGTGTAGCATGCAGTCTACTTCCAATTCAGTACAGAGTCCTATTACCCACTAAGTGTGCCCTGATTTTGTCCTTGCTTGCTTAGGCACATTTTCCAATAAACAATGACACTGTAATTAGCACTAGGCCCATGAAGGAAGTATGCTAAAATATGATAATTTATTCCATTTGCTAATATAAACTTATTTCTCAGTAACATTTTCCCAATCCATATGGATTTGATTATTCTTAAATCTCCACTTCCTTAATGATAGTTCTTTCATTATATTATAAATCATCTGATTATAATTCAGGGCCATGAACTCTTGATTTTTGCTTTCTGCATGCGCAGTTGATAGCACTTGAAATGCCAATGGCTTCGTTAAGGAGTCTAAGGCACTATTACTCCTTTAAATTGGAAAACACTGTTATCTATCTAGACTTCCTATGGGCCAATAACGAACAGGTTGAAAAAGAAATCAGGGAAACAGTATAATTCACAATAGTCACACACACACACACACACACACACACACACACACACACACACACACACCACACAATGGGGAGGTACAAATACACAAAATAAAAGAAAAAAAATCAGCTGTCCTATCAAACAAACACAAAAGTCCCTCCTCCATCCACCCCACCAGGAATAAACTTAATGAGGAAAAAGAAAGACTTGTACAATGACAATTTTAAGACAATGAAGAAAGAAGTTGAAGAAGAGACTAGAAGATGGAAAAGCTTCCTATGTTCATGGATTGGAAGAGTTAACATGTGAATATGACCATCCTTCTGAAAGCAATCTACAGATTCCACTGAAATTCCAGAGCCATTTTTTTACAGACTTGGGAAAAACACTCCAAGAATTTACATGGAGTCATCAAAAGCAAGGCCAGTCCCAAAGAAAAAGAACATTGTGGGTTGTGTCACCATGACTGATTTCAGATTGTACTACAGAGCCATAGTAACAATAACAGCATGGCATTAGTACAGAAACAGACACATGGTTCGATGGAAGAAAGTTGAGGACCTAGTTATAAGTCCATACAACTACATTTACCTGATTTTGGAGAAAGATACACAAAATTTTATAGTGGGAAAAATAGCATCTTTAAAAATGCTGGAGAAACTGGATTTTAACATGCAGGAAAATAAAGCTAGATCCTTATCTCTTACCATGCACAAAACTCAACTCTAAATAGAACAGGGACCTCCAAATAAGACCCTGAAACTTCTAGAGCTGAAAGCAGGTAGCACGGTTCACCTTATAGGCACAGGTAAGGACTTCCCAAATAAGACTCCAGTAGCACAGGAAATAAGGCCACGGATCAACAGCAGGACTTCATGAAACTAAAGTTGCTGCAGAGCCAAGGAAACTGTGAACAGGCGTCGGGCACAACAGAAGGAAATCTCTATCAGATGGTCACTGGAATTAGAAGTCAGAAAACACAAAAGCTTAAGGAATAAAAACCCAATTAAAATGGGCTTAACAACTGAACAACATTTTCAAAAGAAGAAATGAAAAATGGCTAGGAAACACTTTAAAAAAATACTTGTCATCCTTAGCCATCAGGGAAATAAAAAATAAATCTACCTTAAGATCCTGTCTCATTCCAGGCACAATGGCCGCCATTAGGAATACAAAGGACAACATACGCTCCTGGGGATGTGGCAAAGGGGACTCCTGGGCACTGTTGGTGGGAGTGCAAACTAGTGTAGCGACTCTGGGTATCAGTTTGGAGCTTTCTCAAAAAAAAAAAAAAAACAAAAAAAACCAAAAAACTAGAAATAGACCTGCCACCCCAGGGCATCTACCCAACGACTTTATATCCTACTGCAGAGACACTCACACATCCATGTTCACTGTTGCTCTATTTATAATAGCCAGAAAATGGAATGAATTTAGATATACACTGCAGATGAACGGATAAGAAACATGTGGTACATATGCACAGTGGAATACTGCTCAGCTAAAGAAAAAATGAAATCATTAAATTCATAGGTAAATAGATGGAACTGGAAAAAGTATACTGAGTGATGTAACTCAGACCCAGAAAGATAAACATCATATGTCTTCTCTCATATAGATCCTAGCCTCAAATCTTTTATTTGGTGTTTAATTTGAAATACAAGTGGAATCCAGGAAACAAGAAAGGTGCCTTTTGGGGAGCATATTAAGGGGAAGGGGTAGTAAGTTTTAGGTAAAATGAAAGTAGTGAGGTAGAATGTTGATGGTGAAAGGATTAAGGAGGGTATGGGAGTATGAGGAAATCATGGGGTGAAGAGGAGGGATAACCCAAAGAACCGAGTATGAAAAGCCATATAGAAGTCTACCATCTCACACCCCAACTTAAAAAGTGTAAGTGGAGGGGTAGAACAGTTATGAAAATAAAGAAGGGATATGGAAGAGAGTGGGTGGGTTATTAAAAAAAGAGGATCTATGAAAAAGTCACAGGGAAACTAGCTAGAAAGCTAATTGCAAAACACAACCTAAAAAAGTGTCTGAGAGGGTTTCAAAACAAGTCAGGCTATTTCCATCGCCCTTGGTTACCCACAATAACCACATGATAAGATCCTGTTGCTGAAGACACAACATATTTTGGGTGAAGGACATAGAGAAGTCAATCTCAGAATTCCCTCAGAGGGAATGTCCCCTCTGCTGGCTGGCTTTCAGAGTGCCAGGAGGTGCTCCCCAGAGTATAAGGGAGAGGAAAGACACTAGTGGTCTTGCTCACCCAGTGCTGGACCAGCATGCTTACCCAGCATGCTGCAAAACCAACCTGCCAGGCAAGATTTGCCCAGCGGTGCAATAGTGCTTATTATGGAGTAACCAACCAATTTCTAGTTGGATTGAGTCTTATTGGAAGCAATTTTATGCCCGCTACTGTAATCCTGGTCAAAAGCCCATGACGGGGGAGGTCCTAGGTCCTAGGGTAGAACCTGCTACTGATATTTTTCTGGATAATCATGTTGTTAAATTAGGCTCAAGTTCCTGCTGTAAATATCACTCTCTGACACACATGCTTTTCCTCTTCTTTAAGATTCCCAAAGGCTAAGACCACTCTTGAAATCTGGAAAGTGAGCAAGAATTGAGAAGAGTGACATCATTTCTTTTATTCAAATTTTATTGGAAGTTTACAAATGTATTACAGAATCAGTAAAACATCATATCCACTTTACAGGGCACGGATCTCAAGCAAAGTGTTCAGAACAGTCTCTGGCAGAGCCCACGCCAAAGGCCTGTGACAGGCCTTCCTAACAAACAGCTTGACACTTACAGATAACACAGACTCCAGCCTGCTTTACCTTCTCGGGCCCTCTGAGGTTTTGTTTATGCATGTGGAATTAAATAGGATCTGGGCAAAGCAACTCTGTGCAGGAAGGAATGAGTTTAAGAGAATAGATGCTGGCCTAGTTTGCTGAAGAATACAGAGGAGTCATAGGTCTTAGGTTGTTACCTCAGGGTCAGAATTAAACCAGAATACTTTATTGAAAACTATGGAAATCAGGTAGATAGACTCAAGAGGAGGTCTTATTGGCAAGCAATCTCCCAAAATTTAGAAATGTTTGATCGGTGACCTATTGAACATGCCATGGCCAAATGCCCAGACCATAAAGGTTTCCTTAGAAAATGTGCAAGATAGAACTAGACATCTGTCTTGTGAGTTCATCACATTTGAACCATAGAAATGTCTGCTAGCAGCATGTGACCTTTCCAGTCTCCTTTTTATTCCCCCGAGGGAGGCTGGTTCTGGAAGCAGGAAATGAATTTATATAACAGCAATAGCTTCCAACGGTGAGTCATGCTCCATAGGGGGCTTGTGATGACTGGATTCCTAGCAGGAGAAAATAGAAAAAGAAACCAATCCTTCCTCCAGCCTGACCTTCATGGCTTCTAGACGGTCATACAGACAAACTCCGGGGCAAACCGCTGAGGGGAAGGCAAAGGGTTCATTCCCACTTGCCTTATGCTCAAAGAGATGAACTTTTCAAAAGGTGCTAATCTGCAACTGCCTTCAAGATCAGTAGTGGAAACCTGTGGAACTTGATGTGCAGAGCCTGGAGATACCACACAGGGGCCAGTAACGACTCTGCCTGCATGTGACATTTGGGCCACTGGTTCAGTTTTCCTCTTTCCTTGGTTGTAGGTGGATCTTGGTGGAGCACAGCGTCTGGTCTCTTTAGGAGCGTGCAAAGGACACTGCCCTTTGGAATGTAAGTGTTCTAGGTCCCTATAAGGAGGGGTCAGATGAGGAAACAGAAGAATTCATATCTGACCTCAGCAAAGTGAGCAGCTGCCGCCCACAAAACTGGCAAAGACCCTGAGCATGAAAAAGTGGGCCAGAGAGGGCCTTGTTTGGCCTAAGAGGTCAGCTTCCTTTAGCTTCCACAGTGTGGGAGGACGAAGAAATGGAGTCTCCCCATTGTTAATGATGGCTGCTTCCTAGATGTCTGGTGTACTGCTTCTTTCCCAGGGACCCAGGGAAGAATCAGCTCATGTCTAAGATGTGTCACAAGACAGAGAAGACCGGCTCCAGTCAGCTAGGCCTGTCCGACTAGTTGTGAAGATGCCTGGGACGAGACTCTACTTTCCTTGGAAAGTCTGTACTAATCCATTGCCTATCATCTGCTGAGGTGGCAAGGAGAGCAGGGCAAGCGCTACATTCACGCCACCACTGGCTCCACCTGAAGGTAAAAATGGCTAATAGGCCATAAGGAGCAGAAACTTTCAGAAGAGGAGTAGGAAACGCCATCTTGTTACAGCTCTGTAGGAGGAGCATTCTATAGGAAAAAAAAAAAATGACTTTCCATATCAGAAAAATCCAGACTGCTCACACAGCTGCTGGGAGAGTGAAGGATGGAGTACAGAATGTGGAAAGAGGGTTTCAGACAACCAACACCAGCAATTCTCCTTTGTGCATGTTAAAAGCCAGGAAGTGAGGTCTGATTTTCCTCACCTCCCTTCACCGTCACACACGGTAGAGAGTCCAGAACTGTATAGGACAGAAGGAAGGGAGGGCCCCCGAAGGCCACACTCAATGCTACCGTGTCAGCCTGGAACCTTTTCACAGTACCAAAGGTGGGATGCCCTAGCAAGACCACTCAGGAAACTTACCATCACTTACACACTCCTTGGACTGGAGAAGAGTGCTGGCTTAGCTGGTGTTGGATCTGGCAGCAGCAGTATGAGATGAACTCAACCGTAGAGCTATAGCTCTAAGCAAAGTTATTACCTAAAGCTAAAGAAATTCTAGTTCAGTGACGTTCTGCCCATTACTGGGCAGTCACTTGAAGGGCCCACGACCATTGTGAAGAATTGGCCTTCTTCAAATGGCTTTCTCTGTAAGGCGCCTCTCTGCATTTAGAATGGGAAGAAATCGAAGGAGGTGGTCTTGCTGGTGAACAGTTGGACCCTGAAGCCTGTATCTCATTATATGCTCAGTTTTGACCAGAATGATCTTGATGTTCCTGAAGCAGTTTCTAGGCTGCTTTCTTCTTCGGGCTGAGGGTGACTCAAACTGTCTCTGGGAAATGTAAGAGGTACTCTGCCAAGGACAGAGTAAGGAAAAAACTTTCAACGGGAGAATTTCTTTCATTGGATTTGGGGCCAGAGAGGACACATGGTTTCAGCCATTGGCTAGATGACCTACTTCCCTCTCTTCTCCTTGCCCAATAATACCTTTTAGTTCTCACCAATCAACAAACTTGAAGCTCCAAACTGGACTCACCCAATGTCTACCGGAAACCAGCCACTTCAGTGGCTCACCGCTGCCTATTTGTCTCCTAAACAGTTTGCCAAGCAGTTTATTAACTTACTATACAAAGGTAATAGCGTTAATTCTCCAGAGGCTCGGATAATTAATGAAACATTTAGATATGAAGATAGCATGCGGAAAACAGCCACAACCAACATTCCCATTGCTCTTCTAAAAAAATCAGTGACAATGACAAATGTCATAGTAATACCTAAAAAGCAAATCATTTTAATACACCCTGGAGTATCATCATCACATCCCTTTCAGTCCTTGTTTCCCCAGACCCATTTAGGATGGCGTCTGAGAAGCCCCTTTTCACATTCTCTCCATTAAAAAAAAAAACCCAAAAAACCCTAGAAAATGTTAAGTACTATACTGAAGAGAGACCATGCTCGCCTTATCATGGCAAATGGCCACGGAGACACACTGTGCATTACGGGGACAGCACATCTCACAAAAGGTGGGTCCTCCAGTGGATTTTTGCCACAATCCACTGAGGAGAGGAAGAGAATGGACCAAGAGCAAGTGCTTCGTTTTTGTTTTTTTTTAAACTAAAGCGAGGCAAGAAGTTTTATTTCACTCTATATTTACTCTACGGGCAGTGAAATGTCTTCTTTAAGCAAACTCACTCTTGAGCCTGTCTGTCTGAACAACAGTCCTCAAAGTTCAAAATGGAAATCTCTCTTGCCACAAGGTCTGTTTTCCCATGTTCTTACCCTACCACTCAGCAGCTTGACCCTCCTGGGTAATAAGCCAGCCCCTGTGGCGACCAAGCTTGTCAAACTGGATTCTCTCGAAGGCAGTGGGGACTAGTTAAGGTGGCTGTCACCTCTCTTCTTTCTCTCTACAAGTTCTTTTCCCTTGACTTTCCTTCATATCCCCCCCCTTCAACATCTACCTGCTTTGTGTTTTCAAATCTCCTTGTTCCCTACCCAAGTGTAAAGTGCGCCACACTGCCGTACCCAGAGCGCTTCCGCAGCATCCTTCTGTCCTTCAGTGCCAAACGCCGAAGCTCACGTGCTATGAGGACTAACAGTTGTCAGGCTAAGGCAGCAGCTCTGTCTGCCTGGGAAGTAGAAAGCAGAAAATACAATCCAGGACACATGAGCACCAAACAATAATTCCACATTCAAAACAACGCCATGCTGACAGCACACATTGGCACCACTCACAGTCACTTTGATTCCCCCCAAGGGACAGATCGACATTAAGCAACTTCAAGGTTCCAAACAGGGATGGCATTTCTCACAGAACTGGACTGACACTGGTTGATATCTCTAATCAGCAAAAGCGACATTTGCAATAAAAAAAAAAACCCTACTTACTTTGTAGAGAATAAATTCTACCGAGAGTGGGAACAGACTTAAAGACGACTCCTTTCAATGGACTAGAGCATAAAATGCTTTGGGTAGAATAGTTATTTTTTTTTTCAGCCACAAAAAGCCAAATTGAATGTTATTTCTCTGAAAATAGTCTCACTGACATGTAACAGATTTGTATAGAAAGAAAACCAAACCAAACCAAAACCAACAACAAAAGCCAGGTGTTCCTGGGCCACCAGGTACTATCACTCAAAGATAATGGTGGACATGCATGCAAGTCCCCACTGATCCTACGATATAGAAATTCTTTTGTTATTACAAAATACAAAAATATTTTATCAGAACTCTCATTTACATTGCATTTACAATGGACATGTAAATAACTTAGTTGGGGGTCCTGGCTAATAAAGTATTTACTGGAAAAGGGGTCCTAAAAGGAAGAGAACCAGAAAGAATCTAAGTGAGCAGGTTACAATGTGTCGTCTGGTAAATGGCCACTCCACCTTGGAAGGACATGGCCTACCCTGGCCTCCACTGCCGGTGTTTTCCAAAGTGGAAGGTGCAAATCATATTTAACATGCCCAAAACTGTGACATCAAGTGTATCTACCAAGTCAACCTGCAGCCTTGCCTCCCTCAACTGAGAGCATTCTCCATCTTTCCCCTACGAACCGTCCCCAAGAGCACTTGAGAATTCCCAACAGTGCACGCTTCTGCGGCTACATTCTTCGCTTCCAACTTCCCCCATTCCCCGATCCCAATCACATTATGAAATGATACAGTTTTTGCTCTTCTGTCTTTTCCTGCTGTGCAACTGTCCTCTGCCACTTAAGGTGGAGGATTTGGGGACACCGTAAGAGCTGTACTTGTGCAACAGCTCATCACTTGTGACATATCGCAGGCGGGCTGGCTGGGGGATGGGTTCTCCTAGGAAGTAGCCCTCATTGTCGGACTCTGAGGAGGAGGAGCAGGTGGAGCACCAATCATACTCCGTGAAGTAGGGTCCCCATCGATCCCCAAAGGCATTCTGCAAAGCCAGGTCTGACACAGTCCTGGGACACTGGCTGTACAGATCCCGCCGGGACCCCTGCCCCAGGCTCTCCTGGAAGCTCCGTTGACGCATGAACTGGTCATAGTCCTCCCTGGCTCTCAGAGGGGGCCTTTCCTTCAACCGAGCGATGACCTCCCGCTCGCTGGCTAGGTGCAGGGCGTTGTCTGAGCGTGAGCGTCGGGACCTTCGGGACCTGTGCGGGCGGAAGCGGCGGTTGTCATCCCTGGAAGTAGTTCTCCTCCGGGTGCGCTCACTCATGGGCTGGATGCGCACACCTTCCTGCCCCGGCAGCTTGCTGCTCGCTATGCCGCCATCAAAATCAAAGCTCTGGTGCATCCTTCCATGGGACTGCAGGTCCCTGTACCCTAGGGGGTTGCTGAGCTGGTGAAGGTTCCCCTCCATCTCCTGGTACTGTTGTGCGGACAGCAGGCTGCGGACAGACTCGGCGCTCCTGAATTGCATGGAGGAGTTGAGAGTGCCCATGTTGCTCAGCTTTTCTGAGACATTCATTCCAGAGTCTTTGCTGAGGTCAGGCATGGAAAACCGAGATAGGTGCTCCTGGCGCTTGGCACCACCTTCGGCAGACAGACCTGGGGGCGGGGACAGGAGAGAAGAGCACCACTGCAGTTAATACACCAGTACAGCAATGGGGTGGGGGTGTCACCATTACTCTCAGTCTGGGGTCTCTTCAGGGTGTGGCATAACTGTGGCTGTGTAATACACCAAGGCTCTCTGTACGTATGTCCTATGTACTTTTCCTCTATTTAGAATTTCACATCACCAAGTACTTCTGTTGCATCTTCAATTCTAACCATGTTCTATTAGCTTTGTAGGACAGATGATAGCCATCTGGTCAGTGACTGGCCAGGCCTAAGCTGTTTCTTACTTACCACAGTAAGCTTAGAATCTAATTCTAAAGTCCTGGATTAGTTTACTTTGCTGGCCCAAAGCAGTTTCCTGCTTGGCCTGATTCCCTAAATGGCAGGTAGCCATCCATCTCAAATGACTTAGACACTAAGTGACTCCCAAGATGGAGAAAAAGAGATATTTATTCTCTTGGCTTGGTCAGGGATTGATTGCCTTAGGATTATAAATGAATCTCTAGCGGCCAGAAGATATGAATTGTGCCTACGTTATTCCTCTATCCCCTAGGGAGGTGCCTTTAAAAATGAAGCAGTGGCCTTAATCACTATGGAAGAGCTGGTACCCAAGAAAAGAGTCTCCATTCCTGAAGTGTTTCCACATTGTCAGGGCCGAGACAGAAACAATCCCAAAGAGAGTGGGAAATGTGTACTTTGGGAATTTGCTTTTGCATATCTTAAAACAGTACTCTGCAGAGATGCTCATCTCCGTAGTTTGGCCATTTTGCCCTTTCTGGTCACTGACAGCAATAAGCCACCATTACTCCTGCCACTGATTATCTTGGCCTCCCAGTGGGATCTGAGATATCCTCTCTCTGATAGACCTAAATCAATGTTGCAAGCCTTTGAGAATGTGGCAACATCTAAAGCTAAGTACACATATATAAACATACATGAATTATGAATAAAACCATTTTGTGGGGGGCTTCTGGTATCATTTTTCCTATGCATATAACCCCAAGTGGAGTGGGCTCAATTTTACATTGCCATTCCTAGTTATATACCCAGCATAAGTTAGTAAATACCTTCCAAAATATGCAGACGTATTTAGACAGCGGAGCTTTCTTATAAAAGCTTGGAACTGGAAATCATTTAAGTGCCACCCAATGCAAAAGTGAATAGATACATTGTGATTCTGTTTGCTATTACTCACTAAAAGTTACCTGGGCTTGTTGAAGAAATGGATTTCAGGATAGAGTAGGAAAGCAAAAGGATGAGTCCAGAGCATCTTGTACAAAAAAAGATGTTAAAAATAAAATGTGATGAGAGTTTGTTGGAAGACCACGGTCCCACTTGAAAGAGGTTCCCAGTGGTCATTCTGGACAGTTTGAACATTAAAATATGTATGGAAAGTAGTTACTTATAAACCACTGAAACAAATGGGAGTTTTTAATTTCATACTATGACAAGAGGAACATCAGTGAGTCAATAACTAGGGGGCTGAGTGGGATACTTGTGCACAGCAGAATGCTGCTCATTGTCAGCGAAGTGAGTCTATGGAGAGGGAGGGGCTAGCTAGCCAGATGTTTATAGTCACTTTGCAACCACTGGTATTTAAAGGTACTTAAAGTGACCACATTTAGGGCGTAAACACCTGGTGAGAGAGTACAGTAACACATGAGCCTTTGGCAAACATTTCAGTGAGCCATGTAGAATATTCTCTCAGCCTGTGCTTGGTTTTGTCTTCTATACTGTATTTTCCCCTCAAGAATGTTGTCCTTATTTTTCTCAATACGGCATCCTTCATCTCATGTTTCCTCCTGAATGCACCAAGGGTACTCAAGTCTCTATGGAACAGGATGTAGGATACACTTCAAAATGCCTCTACATTATTTACAATCCTGAATACAACATATATTCAATGTAAGTAGTTGCTGTTCTGTACTGTGTAAGGAAAAAGATAATAAGCTGTCCACAGTTTCATAGAGATGCAGCCATTAAAGCTACCTGAATTCCCACCAGGGGCTGACTGAACCCACAGGTGTGGAATCCATACAAAGCACCAATTGTGTTCTATATTATACTCTCCAGTAATTTTAAAAATAATTTCATCACTGATAGCTGTCAGAGAAAGAGGAGCTGGATGCTCTACTCCCCATTTTTCTTGTTGTTTATCACTGGTATATAAATCACAAAAACTGACCCACAACCATTTAGTCACTTTCAGAGCCTTGTCTACCTGAAGATGGAGAGGGGACCCTGACATGCTAAGATGATGAATGAGTGATCTGAGCAGATGAATTCTCTCAAGGAAGAAAAGAGAAACTTCCAAAAGTTACCCAGGGGGCACCATTATCTTTGCAGAACTTTCTGGGTAAGTTATTTAGTGGGATGAAGGTCAGCTTCAACAACCTAGCAAATACCATAAATTCTCAGGAAAGCTTCTCGCCAACTAGCCTGGCAGTAAAACATTTCTAAGATACAATGTGGACAGGTTCCTAGTTCCATGCTGAGGGAAAAGTAGTTTCTACTCTGCTCTAGTGGAGAAGCAGGGAAGAGTTGGACTTCTTCAAGCTCACATGTCCAAGGTGTCCTGTGGCTCTCCGGCACCACGCCATTGAGAATAAAAGTACTCTGCTGAGAGCAGAGATTATCCATGTTCCGGCCCGGTCCATTAGTAATTCTGCCAAACAGAAGTTACTGCGCTGGGGGACCTGAGATGAGATTGCTAGCTCCACCTGCTGCTCTTGAGAGAAGCTTCTCCTGTGACTCACAGAATCAACATTTCCCTTTTAGGGTCTCCTTACATGCAAGGGCAGCTCAGAGAGGAGCAATGCATGTGTCCTTGTCTCTGAAGAGGGTGGTTCTGTGGTTAATTTCCTTATTGGGGAATCCAGAGTTTTTATGCAAACTTCAACGTCCTGCTCTACTTGGCTCCCTACCTCTCTATATGAATGTCATCAAGGCAACACTTCTCCGGTACTCTACCCCGGCTGTGACTCCAGGCCCCTTCCTCCTTCAGCGCACCAACCTGCTCATGCTGTCCTGGGAGAAACTCTCTCCTTTGTGTGGCTGAATTCTATTCACTCAATTCTACACACAGATGGCAACTGCCCCGTGTTGGGGGCCATTCCTTTAAAGGTGGTTTTGCCCCATGAGCAGTCAACCGCTCTTTCACTTGACTATTATTTAAGCTGCCCACCATGTTCAGTTTTTAAAAATCTGTGCATAAATTTGTAGCTGAAATGGCTCTGCAAGGGAGCAGCAATCCTGTTCTCTGTTTCCTGTATTCTCACAGAACTAACAGGATCCAGAGCCTTGTGGGCCCTCCATACAAAAGTTCAGAATAAAGGCAAGTGAATCTCCATGCAGCCCACAGCTCAGGTAAAGTGATCACCTTTGACCTGGTATGGGCCAGGATGCAATTCCAATGTGCAGGGTTGTAAACATCTGGAACAAAATACTGCAATCAGGCTTATTGGTCTCTGACAAACCACTGTGTGTAGCTCAGCATAAGGGCATTCCTGATTTTAAGGCTGAGGAACATATGATTTATAATTAGCTCCCTGAACTGAGAAAATGTTTTTACCTTATTGATCACAGCTCTGGAGGTTGGTTCAAGTTAGTGGTTCTCAAGTCCCCAAGACAGAATTATACCCTCACAGCTCATATTCCCACTGATAAACATTTCCCCTTTTTAAACTATGCAGAGCAAGATAGCCACCTTCTGGCTGTGCCCCTTTTAAAACCCAATGAGCTGCATAATGAAAATGGGCACGATAATACCTGGGTATGAAAGTGGCAGTGATACTCAGGGAGGAAGAGTGAACTTTCTGTTTAAAACATATCACAATATTAATACATCTGTGAGTTTTTGTCTCAGCAATCTTTCTGGTTCGGTTAAGTCCCAAGAGGGTGGGACTATGTATTCTTGTTAGCTACTTCACCTCACCTGCCATCAGGACAGGGAGCAATAGAGAAAGCAAGGCCTGACGGTCCCCAGTGAAAGAAATTATGCCCCACGAATTTGATACCCAGAAAACAAATGAACAAACAAACAAAAAACCCACATGGGTCAAATGTGGTTTTTATGTGAATGAATGAGTCTGTGAACTACAACCCGTGTTCTGTCTGACACACTGTAACGCTTCCTAGACTACTGGCAACTATTAAGAATAATTTGACTCTCTGGTGATGTCTGGGACTTCTTCCTTATATTGTTGATGTCCAATTCTTTACTTTGTGCAGAAAGACTCATTGTCAAAATATGGAAAATCAATATAATGGATCAAATAATGAGGTTCCTCTGATGTCCCGCCACATTCCTGAAACACATGTAATTTTCTTGCCACTAGACCATTGGGGGGTGTGTGTGTGTATAAGTGTGCATGCCTATTTCTGTATATGTATATATGCATACCTATGTATAAGCACATATATGGGAAGAGAGATACATATTGTGGAAAAAATGTGTCAGGGAAGTTTGACCCCACATTTAGAGCTGGCATGATAGGGTATTCTGATGCTGGAGGACATGGGTAGAGAATCTACCATCACAGAGACAAAGATGCCAGGCCCTTTTCTTTCAAGTAGAACTGTTTTATCAGTAGACAGTGTTTTTCTTCTTCAAATGACACAGGCTTTGTGAGAGGTATCTGATGGGGACTGTGGTAATTTGAATGTAATTGGTTCATAATCTCATAGGGAGTGGCACTATTAGGAGGTGTGGCTTTGTTGGAGTAGGCATGGCTGGAGGAAGTGTGCCCCTGTGGGGGCGGGCTTTGAGGTTTCCTATGCTCAGGATACCACCCAGTGTCTCAGTTGGCTTCCTATTGCCTGCAAGATGTAGCACTCTCAGCTCCAGCACCATGTCTTCCTGCACACCTCCATGCTTCCCATCATGATGATAATGGACAGAACCTCTGAAACCATAAGAGAGCCACCCCAGTTAAATGTTCTCTTTGTAAGAGTTGCTATAGTCATGGTGTCTCTTCACAGCAATAAAAACC